CCACCCCCCGAAGTTCACTTTTTTATTGCAGATTCAGGGTCCTCTAGGGTAGCGCAGCACAACCCCGCCCTTCAAAAAAAAAATAAAAAAAATCCTTGCTGTGTTCTTGCGTTGCCCGGGCTGGGCGGACCCCCCCGGGCCCAACTGGCCAGGGCCCGCCCGGCCAGGCGGCAGCCCAGCCTAGTTTTTTATTAGAAACAACGGCGGATGCGGCATGTTTTGAGTTCCTAAAGGCACGAAAAACAGGTCTTCGGCGACTGTGTCAGGGCCTGAGTTTGAAAAGGCGTTCGTAACTCAGGCCGGCAGTGGTGTCAGGGTGGAGGTTTCATTAATCAGGGCCTTATGGTTCTATCCCCTTTTCTATTCTGGGAAGAGTCCGCTCAGCTCCTTTTCCTTCCGCAGCGGTGGCAAGTTCAGTGAAATGAGTCACAAAAGAAAAACATGCGCCCATTGGCAAAGCTTCCCTTTGTTGGGGCTGAAGGACCCCCTGAACAGCATTCATTATTCCGAAGTGGTACTGGTGGTTTAATCATCAAGCAATAAGGGCGTCGTTCGACACTCCTCGGGGCATCCTCGGGCTCCGAGGATGAATCCTCGGAAAAGTTTAGTTTTTTTGTCGTCTTCCTTCCACTCATCCTCGGAGCATCGGTTTTAGGACTCATCCTCGAAGCAATGTCAGAAAAATAAAAGGGAAAAAAAAAGAAAAAAAGTTGTGCTTCAGGCTTTCAGCCAATAGGGTGCTGCCACGATCAGAATTCTCGGTTGTATCGTCTCTCTACGTGCATGCCCTCTCCTCTCCGTGAAACACGGATCCTCGGGCCCCAAAGGACCTCGCGAGGCCCTTTGGAGCCGAGGACGATTTGGCTGGGAAATCCTCGGAGCCCAAGGATTTGTCCTCGGAGTGTTTTCACATTTTCATTTCCGATTTCATCTCAGAGGACAGGTGGAACGACGACGGAATCCTCGGAATCGCGTCCCCGAGGAGTGTCGAACGACGCCCTAAGTCTCACTGGTGGAAGGGAAGAGCCTGGTAGAGCACGCCGCCGCTCTCGCGATGGATAGGACTTTCTCTTATTCGCTCTAAGAAAGCAATTATATAATGCACTATAAATTTATTATGTTCCTAACAGACTTTACGAATGATGTAAGCTTTAGAATATTTTTTAGCCACTGTTTTTTTCTATAAAAAAAAAAAGAAGATTTTTAAAATTTTTACCCGTATGATTTCCACGATAACGCTTTTTTTGCGACCATATCATAGCAACATACCATTAGGGTAACGAAAGAACTGGAACGTTGGCGTGTTAAATAACAGGGCATGGATTGTCTCATGTAGGGTGGTCTCCACCTGCGCACAGAACACAACCCAAGCAGTAGGCATCAACATCTTTCTAGAAATCTCCTGCACATTGCAGACAGGCAATACTAGAAATAAACTGCACACTACCTCCGAGCCTGTTTTTGCCGACCCTGAATTTCACTGCGCACCCAGTTTTACCGAGCCTGGGTCCCATTGTATTCTCTTTTCTGGTACCCGATGGAAAAAAAACAAAACACAAAACAAAGAAAAGGATAAAAGCAAAGACATACACACTGCACAGAACATTGGGTACACTTGAGAGTCTGCCAAAGGGCGTTACTGTCCTCAGCAAAACACGGCAATAGGGAAAAAAAAACAAAAAAAAAGACTAGGCTGGGCCGCCACCCGGTTGGGCCCGGGGGGTTCCGCCCGGCGAAACCGGGCGATGCAAAAACCCAGCAAGGATTTTTTTTTTTTTTTTTTTGGGGAAGGTAGGGTTGTGCTGCACTACCCTAGAGGACCCCGAATCTGCAATAAAAAATGAATTTGGTGCCCGGGGGGCGGGGGGAGGGGGGGGGAAGCATTTTAAGAGCGCTGGACCCTCAGGAGCAGCAAATTTGGACGAGTTTTCGGCCAAAAAACTCAGTTCCAATCCCGTTCAAAAAATAAAAAAATGTCTATTTTGACGAAATGGCAGTTGGTTGTCATAGTACAGGGGGCGGTCGTGGTGTCAGAGGGAAAAAAAAAGGCCAACGGATAATTTTGGATCGAAATTGCTCATTTCGAGTTGGCATGTGGTTTCATTGCCGGCGCGAGTTTTCATTGCCCGTAGGGTTTCAAAACATGCCGCGTCCGCCGTTGCTTCTTGTTGTAGTCTGGTCAGTTGTTCACAGTTCAGAGCCCAGAAAGCAATCTTGTACCATAATATGGTTGCAAACGACGCAAAGAAAGAATGCATTGTTGAAGGCCAGCGTGCTTCTGGTTATCGACGTGTGCAACGGTGCAACCCCTTCCGTGATGTCGTTTGCTGTATGGTTATGTTCACCAAGGCATCACCATGGTCGGGTCGGCAGGCCGTTTATGAAATTCAGCAACAGCGGCCCCGGACCCTGACGGTCGCGACGCTTGCACGGCCAGGCAAAAAAAAGGAGCCCCTGCAAAATGTACTGAGGGTAGGATAGTTGTTCTTCTCACCTGCTGAGCGAGGTCCTTGTTGGGAGTGAGCCGAGCTGGGCAGAAATTGATGGAACCGACAAAAACCCGTTCTAAATCAACGTCCTGCTGACACGTGGCAGCATAGGCCATGATAGGACCCCTGCTGCAAATGGTGCTTGCCTGCACATCAACAAACATGCGACGGACAAATACAAATATTAAATTATGGATTTGAAGAAATATTTGATATATTCAATGGTTCTTTTTATTTTAGGTATTTGGGGAATCTTTTTATTTAAAGAAATAATATCCTTATTATGTTAATCCTATGACTCAAACAGTCGCCCCAAAAATAAGAAATAAAATAGACACAAGGTAATATCGTGTATCAAAACGACTTCTGGAATCATCAAAAGGGATAGGGGTCATAACTTCATTCTGATTTGCACAGACTTACTGAAGTGCCCTCCAAACCGTGCAAATTCCGCCGATCAGGCGAGGCTAATGTGCCTTTCTTTCTTTTTCTTACCTCTTGTACAGCAATTGGTAACCATCGGGAGATCGATACCTCGTTTGGTGGTCAAGTCTTTGACGCAGTACGCATCGTCCCGGAGGCGGTGACTACTTGGCGCGGACTAGGGGAGTCAAACCCCCGAACCAGTAAGGGTGTGCTATGGCGTCATCAAGTCAACCTAGCGGGAGTGGAGACGGAGACGGCACTCGAAGGAATCCGCAGACCTGCTACAGTTGTCATCTGCCGAGTCACTACGCTAGAGATTCCGGAGCGTATTGGAAGGAAAAGTATGAAGGCAAGACAGGTGTATCCGGAGGAGCTGGGGCATCCGGGCCTGTTCGCGGAAGGTCAACATCACCTGTGAGAAGACGCTGGGAATCCGCTAAACGATCACCGTCGGCGGATCTGAAATATCGTAGTTATCGAAGTGATGAAAAGGATAGCGTTAAGGACTTGGTCAGTTTGTTGATGGCAGAACGCGAGGAGAAGGAGAGAGCAAAGAAAGAGGAGGAGGATAGGGTCAAGTTGAAACGAGAGAAGGCGGAGAAGGAGGCGAGAAGGTTAAAGAAGGAAGAAAAGTGTAGAAGGGAGCAGCAAGAGAATGACGAGAGATTGAAAAAAAAAATTGATCTCCAGTTCGCAAAAAGGTGGGGGGGAGCAATGAAGCACGTGGAAGTCGACAGCTCGCTTGAGTTCAAGCGGAGGCATCGGCGATATCGGAAGGCTTCCAGAAGAGGAAAGCATCATTGGAGAACATACATAATGACCTCTGATTCTGACGACAGGGTTTCAGATATCAGCCAACGCACTCGCTTGCTTCATCTGACTGAAAAGCGCAAGCGGACATCTACCGCCACGAAAGAAGAAGACTCACTTTCGCAATCAAGTCCTAACGTCACTCCGCTAAAGATACATCGAGCAAGGGAATTGCCTCCGAAGTCCTCGCGGGGGAAGTCGGCTAAGAAGATGAAAACCACCTTGAAGCCGGTGACGATGAAGAAACTTCGAGAGAAGAATGAACCTAAAGTAAAGGGAGCGGTAGCAGGATGTGGGGATGGGTCTCGTCTACAGCTCGTAAAAGACACGGCAGAGCATTTGGACGGCTTGGACTACCGCGTGATACAGAAAATGTGTAAGAGGGAAGGCTTACCATACGTACGTAAAGGGCAGGCGGTAATGGCTTTGGCAGAAAAGAAAGCTCAAGTAGCTTACGAAGGCACAAAGGATGGTGTACCGGACTACGCAAAGAGCAACGAGGAATCTGCTACGACCAGCGACTCCTCTTCTTCTGACAACGAAGCCGGGACAACCGACGACTCACCCTGCAAGGAGAACGTGAATATTGCATGAAGAGGTCAAACGAACGCTGAGCTTTGGGAATGTTGTCGCTCTTTAGCTTATCGACGAAGGTCTCACTCTCTGGTTGATCGGAATGTAGAGAGTCTGTTTCGTTGGATTATTATCACCCTTGCATTACGTGGTTGTATTCCTTGGTTAGAAGAGTTCATCGGTTATTGGACGGATGTGCTATCTCGAAATCCAAAAGTGTTTGATAATCCTAACTGTTGCGTATACGCTGGAGTTTCCCCCTAGTGTCGAGCTACCTATGTTGGAAAAACCGAGCACCTGTTAAATACTAGATGCTCTGAGCATAGGGGTAAGAGTCGACATGTAGATTCATCGTCGTCGCATTTCCATAGGTGGCTGGACCAGTTCGGCATTGAAAATTATGTCTTAATTCCTGTCTTTCTCGATTTCGCTGATGAATTGGTTAACTTCAAAGATTTTTTGATCCGGACCTGGTCGCCCAACCTCAACACGAGAGGGAAAGCAAGGGCAGGGAAAAAGAAAAGACAATCGAGGAAGAAACGCCGAGAGAGGAAAGAGAGAATCACGGGAAAGAAGAGATCTCGCAAGAAGAAGGCTCGTGAAGTTAGTTACAACAAGTCGTTAGTTATTAGACTACGGATAGACCAGAGAACTGACGACTCTGTGAAGGTTCTTCAAACCTTCTGTAATCAAGAGGAACATGGAAAGCGAGCTTTCGTTTTGCAGTCGGAGGGTGGGAATACATGGTGCGATAAGTGGAAGAACGTCAAGAGGGTGTACGGGAACTCGCTAGTACGCGTAAACGGATGTTAGAAGTTACTGCGGCAGAGTAAGAAGGAGGTGGAGCAAGGAGGGACTATTGAAGTCTTGCATTTGAAACGATGGAAAAAACATTCTAAGAGGAACCACTCCTTCTTGATTTCGATTCTAAAGCAACGTAGCAAGCGGGCTACCCTACGTTCTCGTGACTTGAAATTTTTGGTTGAGCTTCTTGATGCAACCAATGAATTTTCTTCAAAAGCTACTCGGTTGCAACTGAGGCGCATTTTGTTCAATGAGATCAGATTAGGATATGGTTTTAACTTAGGCTGTAAGCTCGTCATACGGGTACGATTTGATGACAGGATTAGTCTGTCTGGGGTACGCAGATTATGTGATTCGAAGATCGATAGTACAGGGTTCCCTACTATGATTAAGGACATCTATAAGAGAGAAGTCAAGGTGGTGTGGACTAAAAATCGGAGCATCGCTAACATTCTCTGCAATCATCGCAAGGCCGCCGCAAGTGAAGTGTTGGCCTGCAGATGCAGAGGGTACAATCTCCCTCGACACGAGGGTCACATTAGATGTCGGGTAAGTGAATTGGAGGGACTGCCGGCAGAAATGTAGAATGGTAGGAATATTCCTAAAGCATATGGGAAGTTCCGCCATGTGTCTCTGATGAAAGAATTGTCTGAGTCGTTGTCAAATTGGAAGCCTGACGTGAAATGTATTCTTCATGTTAGTCAGGAGGAAGCGAGTTCCTGCATGAATCAGAATGTTATTAGGGATAAAGAGATCTCGACGGAAGATGTCCTGAATATTAAGCGCAGGTTTGCTGATTTGATTTTCACCCTAGTTGATCGCAATCCAGGGGAAATTGTGGTAATGTGCCCATATCTGTACTATATGGCGATGGGCGATATGTTTGTTCGTAGCTCTGGGTATGTCGTATGCGATCTGAAGGAGAAGGACACTTGGATATCGTCGCGGCAGGATTTCGAAGCAATGGGTCTCGCTAAATTGGGAAAATGGGATGTGAAAGGGAAAGCAAGGAACACGTATGTAATGCCTAAACAAAAGGACTTGTCTCGCTTTCGCCCCATATGCCCGACCTTTAGCGAACCTACTAATCGTATTTGTAAAAAAGTTTCCAAGGCGTTGAATTTGCTTCTTAACTCAATTCCAAAGTCGTGCCACTTTAACATGCCGACAGTTAGTCAACTGGCGGAAAGGATTTCGACGGCTAATGAACAGGTACGTCGAGCCTACAAGCAAAGTGGAGCAATGGGGGCAAGTTATGACATTAAAGATATGTTTACCAAACTGCCCCACGAAGAAATTCTTGATTCTTTGGATTGGCTCGTTAGTTGTTTTCCAGATAAGAGTACAGTGAGAGTAAATCCTAGAGGGAAGGGTGCCTCCTTTGGAGAGAAGAAATATGAAAAGTGGTGGGCGGTCAATTTGCGAGATTTATGTAAATTCATCCGTTTTGAATTGTGTCACACTTACACCAGAGCGACTGATGTTCTGTTGCGGCAAGTAATTGGTATTCCAATGGAAAAGAATATTAGCCCGCCACTAGCATGCATTTTGTGTGCGCATGCTGAGTGGCGGTTTCTCTGTTCTTTGGGTAATGACAGGAAGTTGGTATTCAGAGTGAGATTGATGGACGATGTTTCAATCATTTTAGCCTACGAAAAAGGTAATAGGAAGTCTATCGGGAGGGCCAATGAGATTCGGAGGAAATTTGAGGGATGTCACCCCCGTTTACTCTCTTTGTTACGTACATATGAGAAAATGGGTGTTTGGGATTTTGTTGGCTGTCGGATGAAAATCAAGCAGTGCTACCCCTTCTTAAGCAGTACCCAAAGGACCAAGAACGAGGATTCGATCTGGGGAGAAGGCCCTGTGGTACTGAAATCGGGGCAAGATTTTCGGTCGTGGTCCGACCGTAAGCAAAAAATGGAAGCTATTACCGGATGGTTATACAGGATAGATCGGAACACTACCGAACGGGGAGAAATTCCCAAGCAGGTCTTGACACTGAGGTGAGAGTACCGGGCCAAGGGTTTCTCTGACCAGTTTTTTGGATCTGTTGTTACAAAATTTTCGTGGACTCGCGATAGTACTTGGCGGTTTACGGCAACGCTAGTAGGCAGTTAGCTTGCAATAAGACTATAAATACTTTTAAGTGTTTTGTTTGTCCTCTTCAGCATTCATGGCTCCGGAGTTTGCTCCGGTACGGGTAAAGGGGGAATGATGCAGATCAGTTTCGGGAGAGAGTGGGGAGGATAGCTGATTCTCGAGACTGTTCTCGCGGTTCTCTTGGGTTGTTGCTTTCTCTAATTGAAACCTTGTTGTACTGGACTTCTGTTTCGGCTGTGTGACCGCTCCTATTTTGTCGAATGCCTGTCGTGGTCGAAAGGTCGCATGACCCTGGTCAGTGTAACTGTGTTTCTTTACCTCTACCTCTTTTCTTTAATCTAAGGCACCTCTTTTTTAAGCGCCTTTCTTAAGCGAAAATGGGCCAAGCAATCAATGAATTCAATCCCACTGGGCCATCGTCAATTTTCAATTCCCATTGGCTAAGGGTTCAGTCTACGATTGTTTCGACCTGAACAACTAGTGCGAATTTCTTTCACATAATTGCATTTTTCAATTTGTTGGAAAATAGATCCACAGATTTGACGAAATGATGTCTTTTTTTTTGGGAATTTTCCAATTTCTTGCATATTCTTGTGCAATCAAAGAAGTGACTAAACTACAGTTCAAACTTCAAATCATCATAATATCATCATCAGTTCTCATCATTGTATTCTCATTATAAAGGACGCTGGGCCCGTTTCCCAGCGCACATGTTGCTCCCCGCGAATAGATCGGAGAGTGTGTTTAAAGGGGGGAGAAAAAAAAAAGAAAAAGAAAAAGATTTTTTTTTTTTTTTTTTTTTTTTTAAGCGCTCTTGTGAGGCCTCTACCCCAGCAGCGGCAAGAGAGCCACCAGGATTGAGGCCTCGACTGTTGGGCTGCTCCATCTATTGGTGGGGAGCGGCACCTGCTGGAAACCGGGTCTCGCGTCCCAACGGTACAACCTTTACAAAGTCCAGTTTCGGGTTATAATCTTTCCTTGTCCTAGTCTAGCGACCCTGTTGCTCTCGGGGAATCTGCTAGTCTCTTGTTTTTTTTTTTTAGTCTCTTGTTTTTTTTTTTTAACCCCCGCCGATGATAGTTGCGCTGATAAGAGCAGACACCACTACCACTCGGGGAGAGGCTCCATCTATTGGTGGGGAGCGTCACCTGCTGGAAAACGGGTCCAGTGTCCCATATACAGGCTGGAATCGGATAAACAATGCAGAGACCCCTGCCAGCATTGATTACCCTGGATTCCAGGGGATTGACTGAGCAGGGCATTGGGAAAAACCACAAATAGACCTGCCACTGTGCAGGTTCTGGTAAAAAAACTGAGATGAATGCTGTCTTCAGAAGATTGTCTGCTCAGGATGTTGAGCTGCAGGGGGTGAACCTCTTCACCCTGTACCAGGCGCCGAATTCTTGCTGCTGAAGGATTGGTTTCCCCCTGAATGCCTGATGGTCCACTTCGCCCTGTACCCGGCCGTTTGTCTGTTGTTGAAGCCTCATTTTCCTTCTCCATTCCCGTGTCGGGACAGGGGTCCGGGAGGGACTACTGGGGGGCACCAGCGGTTCCTTCCGTTCCCTTGCCCATCCATCCAAAAAGACCCCTCCTCAGCCACTCTTCTGCCATCCCCCTCTGCTAGTCTCAATCCATCGCTAGACTCATTCTTGTCATCCTACCCTGTTTGCATCCAGAAGTGACCTGTACTTCTCTCTTATCCTACCATTCCCCCTATCATTACCAGACCTTTACTACTCATAGGAAAGTGGGAGAAGGAGAAGGTACGATATTACGCGTCTTACTAGCAAGGGGGCTAGCTGGTAGGACGGAAATAGGGCACAGCAGCAGCGGAGATGGTGGCTCTGCTGCAGTAAGTCTTGCCGGAGTGAGGTACCGGGGAGGGATTGGGGGGTCTGAGTCTTTTGGGTGAGCACATGTCTTGTTTTTCTTTCAAAGAGGTGAGGGGGACAAGTAGATGGCTGGATAATAAGCGTCCTACTAGTAAAGGGGCTAGCTCGTAGGACGGAATTAGGGTACAGCAGTAGCGGAGATGGTGGCTCTGCTGCAGTAAGTCTTGCCGGAGTGTGGTAAAGAGGACCCCGGCACACACACACACACACACACACACACACACACACACACACACACACACACGCCCGCG